TCCCCACTGTCATGTTATACATGCCGTGCAAATTGTGTGAATAATAGTTTTGTCCTATTTGGGATGACTTAATTGTGCCACTCTTAACCTCCCTCTTGCCTAAATATTTCCATAATAAGCACAATTTTAATATCCAAACCTCATATTTCAAAATCTTTAATTAGAAAATGGGCACACTAAGTTTAAAGGTGAATACTGAGAGCTATCCTAATATTTTAAACACTTACAGTTATACTTCTTCACAAAGTATCTATATCTGCAGGGATGAACCTTGAAGAGGTTCCTCCTTTTATGTCTTATCACACAATCAGCTACTTCTAGACTTTCCTAAAAAGATAGAGTCCAGATGGCTGATATTTAGTTCACCTGTGATAGATATTACATTTCAATAAAACTTTAATCTTAAAGAAAATTGTATTACTACTTATTAAAATTTGTTGACATGAAAAAGCATCGTTCTGATTTCCCTATGATCAGTTCCAAACGTGATGGAAGAAACTGTATGTTTCTGAGTTAAGTACTGAGTTTTTAAATTATACAAAATTTCCAGGCCACTAATAAGGAAAAAACAATTTACCAATATCTCTTAAATTGTGCGTGATTTCTTCAAGTACCTGGGAAAAAAGGGGTTTTTCACTAAATAACTTAAGATATGAATTCAAAATCATGTTTGAAATCTTCAAATATGAATGCTTTAATATAACGTAAAATACATAAGATGTTTAAGGCCATTAACATTATTCATTTTTCTTGATATCCCTAAGAATCTCTTCTGTAAAAGAAACTCTAATCCAGACTTAAATATTTCATTTTATTTAAGAATTCTGTTCTTACGAAAACTGGCCAACCTGGTATCTAATACACATTAAGTTTTTACTTTTCAAATCTACCTATTGACTAACGTTATGTCACAAAGATTCTTGAAGTGTCCAAATCTTATTTTAGAATTTTTATAGTAGCAGAAATTGTTTATCTTGGGATCCATGCGTCCCAAATTATCTCTGACCACTTAAAACAAAGCTTACCAGATTTTCCTGAGTTTTAAAACAAAAACAAACAAACAACAAAAAAAACAACCACACCAAACCCCTTTGTAATTTAACATAGAAAAAAAGACTTGACTGAAAAGTACAGTTTTAGGAAAGATCACTGGAGATGAGAGGTCATAAACTACTTCTAAGGATAAAACATCCTGTTTCCAGAAAAATCTGATGTTCAAGAGATTCCAACTGGGGTCATGGTGAGACTATCATGTTTCAAAGTTTCAAATCGGATTACAAGCGGAGACAAATTCCACAGAAGTGTGAAGTAGAAAGTCTGTAGTTGTTAACAGTTTCTGATAAAATGTGTATGATTTTGAAATATTTCAGATTCTAAGATCAAAGTTTTACATGTTTACATGTTGATGGGCAGAATAAAGTTTCCAAAAGATAATGCCTTTGTTTTGTTTCTGTGTTTGATGAAAGTATCTTATAACAGCACAATATAAAATTTTTTACTACTTTCTAATTTCAGTAATTTCATGTTCATTTTTGTTAAGAATCATGAATCATTTTTTTCAAAACTTTAATTTAATATAGTACATCTTTCTCTCTACCAATTCATGATGGAATGTGTATGATTATTAGGTTATATAAAACAAATTTGTTGAAATGAACAGTACAGTTGCAAAATATTGAGTTTAAGATGAAATATGGTTTGAAATGGAAAACCAAAATGTAGAAATCTAGCAAAACAAGATGTTCTCATGTAGATTCAAGAGCTTAGACATGCAAAATAAATTCTGACATCAGCAAACGACCACACTTTATTACTAAGGTCTTCGAAAAAAATGAGGACTACGAGAAATTGGGACGTGACTAAAAAGAGCAACATACTAAAATATGAACCGAGAAGATAAAAATGTACTGTGGTAATAAGCAGAGCTCTCGTGGGCAATTAGATAGCTGTCTTTCACACAGGCTTTCCTTAAAAAAAAAAAAAAAATCACCCTAGCCCTAAGTACAGGCCTATGAGCACTAGGGGGACAGTCTTCCTCCCCACACTTTGCTTGTCTTGCAGACCCTGCCGGATGGGTCTCCCGTTATCCCATCATTGTGTCATACTTCCACAGTGACTTGAGGCCTGTAGGTACAGTACACAGTACAAACACCCATGTGTGGATCTTGCCAGATCCATGGCATGATGTCGGGCCAGGCCTATGTTTTCTCTCTCCCACAGATGCTGCAGTGTTTTCAAAACAGGGCCAAGCAATCCCCTCTCTCTCCTGATAGCCTGGGAGGAAGACCCAGCCTAATGGCAGCAAAAGAAGTCCAGTCTCTGTACCACAGGCGTGTCGTAAATAATACCTGATGATGCAGTGTCACAACTTAAGTTTTCTTCCTTTTATCGTTAACAGAAAGAGAGGGCCCATTTCAAAAATGGGGGGGGGGGGCAGGTAATGAACTGCCACAACAGATTGTGACAGATTTATTACTATTTGTCATGGTAAATATGTATCAAAGGAAACATGTAAGTGTCTTTATGTAGTCATAATCACTCCAAAGGAAACCTTTTATTATCCCCAATCTTTTAGTATCTGTTATGCAAATATACATACTGAAACAAGTTTAAGAAGTATCTCTTATCAGATAGTCATAATTTTATTTGAACTTAAAAAAAAGCATGGTAGAGATCTAAAAATATAGAAATATAGATGTCCTGGGGCAAAAGTATAACTGTGTCTACTACAGGCCTTTTTGGAATCAAGTTAAAATAAATATTTTGTGTGGTGGTAAGCCACGTGGATCTTGTTATAAGTAATAAGCAATTGATATTTACAACAAAGCTTACATAAACTAAGCTAAATTGCTAGGAAAACAGAGCTGAGATAGTTTTTAGGTAATAAGTAAATGGATGATTAAATTACAAAATTATCTAAACTTGTTCTTGCTCAAAAAATAGGAATAAAAATTTCATTTATAATTGTATTTTCTTCCTCCTTGTCTTTCAGAAAAAGGCCTATTCACCAAAATGTTTCATAAGAACCATGAAAACATCTAGTCAAGATAGATTTTCTAAGAGTAAATCCTAAACGGACAACTAAAAGCTAAAAATCAAATAGAATAAAACCAAACTCCTACTTCCCAAGTTTTGTTTATTGCGAAAGAAAAAATATATATTTTTATATTTCTGAACATATCATGACATACCAGCAACACCTAAATTGTCTTAACAGCAAAGAAAACACTGTACCAGTAAAATTTTCTAAAGGGGCCAGATATCTATAGGGAAATACTTAAAAATTTACAAAGAATTATGAAAATTGTACTTGACAATGATGAAGCATAGACATACCATCTAATGCCACATCAATGCACTCCTTAGAAATTGTCTAGAGATCTGCCTAATCTTAGCAATGGAAAAAAACAAGCTAATTTTAATATGAGGCATAAAGAGGGTAGGATAGCTTTAAGTTTTCCACGGCTTTTATAGGACAGTTCTTCCATTGTTTCAAACATTCAAAAGTCCACTAAATGCATTTAATATTGTCCATATTAGGTTCAGGCATGTTTAAAATGTAAGCAGCTGTTAGGACTATATCATTTGAAGTTGTCATAAAACCTATTAAAAGCTAACGTTTCATCGACATTAAATCCACCCCTAACTTCAAGTTTAAAATATGCTTATAAAATCCTTTGCGAATATTAGTCAATTTCAATATAATACGGAAATTCAAAAAATACACAACTGAGTACAATTTTAGGTGACCTACTGATAGTTGAGGGTGACAATTATATACACGATTGTCAACCTTATTTACACAATATTTTTCTACATTTATGAATAATTTTGTGATGCTTCTTCAACATCACCAACTCTATGATAATCAGCATACAAAATTTGCTCTTTTTCCTGGTAAGACTTACTCTGATATATTTATTTAATAATTGTTTGGATGAGCTGAACTGAAATCAAGTCAAATACACAGGTGTTTGGGTTAATCTAATCTTAGCACATTTGCAAAACCTATTATTCTTCTAATACATTAAAAATGAAATGAAACTAATATGCAAGCATTGATTGGTAATATACTTTCAGAAATCTAAATATAATTTTATATTGAAGTATAAAAACATAAGGCTCATTAGCATTCTTTCAGAGAATACTAGCACTCTACAGAATTAAATCAAATCTTTATATCACAGGAAGGAAGAATGAAAGGAAGGATAAAGAAACAAAGAAAGAAGAGAGGAAACTTTTGTTTTCATTTTATATAAGGAGAAAATCACCAGAAAAAGACTAGTCCTAAACAAAACTAAATACAATTATCTAGGAATGTAAGAATTCAAAATACGATATTATGTATTTAGTTGTGATCGCAATCAACTTTTGCTGTGCTGGGGACCTGGGGGCGGGTGGGGGGTGTTTAGCAACTTCTGCATAGAGCTCCAGCTATTAAAAAGACCCAGAATGCTCTTGGTTACAACTGACTTCTTCTAGTTGTCACCTGGTAGTAAAGACACAAATGGCTACTGATGCAGCTACCTTTGCAGCCTTTATTCAGCAACCTCTCTAGAAAATAGAGACATTCTTCCTGCACTCTGGGCTGAAACCCATGTAAATTTTTCCTAAATCCTCTCCACAAATCTCCTTTCGCATGCAAATCCATAAATCATCATAATACTGACAAAGAATTTAACCAACACATGAAACTAATACTCATTCTCTTGAAAGCCCTGTACAGGTAAAACTCCTCAAACTTCAGGCACCCTTTCAAGGCTCTCTTTAGAGCTTAACCTGCTGAATATCAACATAACCACCCAGTCTTCCAGGATGTGCAATTAATCACTCCAACGTGGGACAGGTGGCTGGATGTGCAGGTCACTTCTACCTCCTCCACCTTCTAGATAAATGTGCTGCTCTGAGCGCATGGAAACTTATTTACATCTATCTCCTTCCCATCAATACAAAACAGAACTAAATAAGCAATATATAAAGCAGAAACAAGTAGTACTTACTGAAGATGGCAAACCTGGAGGAACTTTTCTAACTTTCTTTGTCTGTACCTCTGAAAGAAAATGAAGACGCTGTCAGCTCCCACATGCCCATTTTCCTAAGATAGATACAACCACAAAGGCTTCTAGATGATACCATATTTCCTCAAATCATTACCTTAGCAAACTGTAGTTACCAGGATCACATTTGATTCTAGCAGAAATCAAATTCTGCTTTGTTCATAAAAACGAAGATATTTAACTTTTTGCTACTTTGATCTCTTAAAAGCTTCCTTATGGGCACAGCCAAGAGAAAACTAGAAATAAGCAGACACCAAAAAAGTTCTGCTACCCTAGTTAAGGTACCTACCCAGTGTTCTAGGGGGTTAGTCTCCTGGCTGGCAACTGAGCCAGACTTTATGGTTTTCTTGAGGTGGGAGGTAGGATGAGGGGGTGATAATTTTAAAGAAAGAAAGAAAAAGGCATAATCATCCCTCAGGCATTCAAACAAAGGAATACCTTACCCATGGCACTACTGTGAAGAGGCCTCCTTCGGGGATTATTGCTAGAATACTGATAGTACTGGGAACCAGGTTTGGTGGGCGAAAGGGTTCCTGGGTTGCCCATATCCATGTCACCTCCAAGGAGACTCTGCTAAAAGGTTAAAAAGGGAAAACAAACATAGAAGGTTAATTTTTTACTTTCACCACCTCCCAACTGATTGTTAGTACTTAAACCAATGCAATAAAGCAAACAGCATCTGCTGAGCTGAGACAATTAACAAAACAAAAACCCAAAAGAAAGGCAGTCTAAGAAGCTATCACAAAGTTTTTGAATTTTTAATTCTTTACTTTTAGGAGGAAAGTAGATGATTCCCTTTAAACAATATTTTTAAAGTCTTTTAAGATGACTCACGTTTTAATTTCGCAAAACAAATGGCATTTATATAAGACTAATGTTTCCTTTCTCTAGACTTAGGCTTATATCTGGGAACTATTCATCCCCTTCCTTAACAAGAAGAATCTCATTTTGTGAACGCATACAACTTCCCCCCGCTGCACACACTGGGGGTGAGTGTAGCCTATCAACTCCAAAGAGAATCCTGCCTCTCTGTACCGCATATCCTGATTCTCCACGAACTGACACAGCACCCACAGAAGAGAAAATGCCAACTGAACCAAGAGGAAATTCAAATCCTCACGCTAACTCTCAAAATCATAGAAATAGCAGATATTCCACGCTAACAGCCACAAATCAAAGGACTTCAGAATGCCCTCTTGAGGTCTATCGGAAACTAAGACACATCCCACAGATTAAACATTTACCTGAACGCTAGAAAACTTCCACAATAACTTATCACAGTGTGACAAATCGTTAAACTTTTAAAAATTATGACATCAGAAAGATTATATAATATTACATTTTCTAAAAACTACATAGAAACTTACCCATAATATATAAATCGCCTGATTATACTCTGCATTGAACACATTGTTCTTTTAATTATTCTGATATGCAATAAAACAAGAGTAGATAGTAGCATTTATATTAAGAACAAATTTACTGTTTAATAAAGAAATTTTAAAATTAAGTACTAAAAATCTAACTTTATCGTTACTTGTAATCAACTTTTACTGACTGAACTAATTACTGTCCTTGATAAAGTACAGAATGTGTTTTCCCTAATCTAAATTCTAATCACCATGTCACTCACAACAGACTTAGGGATGCTTCACTAACACACTATTCACATGCAAAATACTCTAAATAGGCCAATTATGACTCTGCCCCTGTTCCCTGGTTAACCCGCTGAGAACTGAAAAATTTCACAAGGCAGTCACCAACTAAAACAAAGGGTCCTTGTTTTAAATTAAGACAGTCTTTTTGATTCCTAAATAGCTCAACAAAGTGGCATGTCTTCTAGTGAAAGCAGTTGGTCAAATATGACCCATAAGCTGTAAAATCAAAAATTCAAACCTCCCCTTTCCACCGCCATATAGCTAAATATCATAAAGAGAGCCTCTCTATTCCAAGGGTTTTTTTCTGAGTGTTGGATGAGTCATATATAAAGGACTAATCAGCTACTGACAAGCTCGCCTTTACTGATTCCAGTTTAAGACTTTTTCAAGAGATATGTAATAAACATTACTTCAAAATACAACTTCAAGGATGAGATTCCAGGTTGAAATCACATTTTGGGTAACAAACTCGTTTCTAATATCTTAATATTTACCACATAAATAGCTGATAAAACCAGATGTATCAGACAAAAATCTGACATCTGCATGTGCAACTATTGCCTCTTTTGAATTTAAGAGACATATTAAAACGCTACACAATGACAAACTAAAATAGAAGGCTTATTACAGTAAAGTTTTGTATAAATCAGAAATCTAGGAATAAATAATTTATCATTTAGGAATGGCATTCAAAAATTTTAGAATCTCAATCTGAATTTCACTCTTGGCATTTCTTATTAACAAAGTAAGTTTAATTGAAGTCCGTGTCCAAGTTTTCTTTGAAATTTCCATCAATAAAGCTGTGAATAATTTGAAATCACAACTTCCTTACAGTTTGGTAAATCTACGAATGAGTCTTAATTTCATTGGAAAGAGGAGTTTGAAAATAATTTCGTATTTTAGACACACATCACCCCTATTTCTTCATTTTTCTTTTTCTAGAAATACATAAAATATTCAGAAAAGGGCCGAGCAAATATGTTGAAATGTTTTCTTGTGTTTTTAAATGAGTTTAACCACTGGTTAATTCCTCTTGGTCCTGGTGGCAAAGGTTTTCATTCTCAAGAAATTAAATGCATTCAAGGGGTCAACCTAAAAACAAACACACTTGCTATGCTGTATTTTAGCAGCATTCACAATAGAGCTGTGAAAAAATATAAAATGATAACTACAAAACAGCTACTGGCTGTGGTTGACCTTATTGTTGTTAATTTAAAAGAAAATAATTTCATGGGCCAGTCATAATAAATCACGCATCCAACTCTTATACATGCAGGCACAAGGACTACATATAGTAACACAGTACTAAGACCAGATAGCACTTAGAAACCTTTAGTGGTTCCTGCTAATCTTTATTTTTTCACAAAGCACATTCCTGTTTCTTTCTCCTTAGACCTGTTTGTTCCTATTTCTTTCTCACTTGGACAATAGAATCATTCTTCTAAAGCAACAAAAATAAACATTTCCTCACACTTAAGGGGGCCCTAAACACCTCCTTAGGGAAAATGAAGATAAAAATATATGTATTCTTATTGTAGAGTATACTTATAAAGTGAACAATGACCATTTACTATTGTTTGGCCTTTACGTCACATACTTAACTCTCTGTAGCAATGAGAAAGATAAATTTTCCACTGCCTGACAAACCCAGAGTTTCTAAATTTTAAAAAGTGATTGGCATTTGATTTGAAGTAAATTAAATTCTGCACAAAATGGATAAGGTATTTGTTTATATTACAAATTTACCTGCATATCTATCTTCAGCTCTGAAGACAAATTTCTGCTTAAGAAAAGTTAAGCTTGAAAAAGAAGTCTACTTTCAGAATGGACAAATGCATCCTTGCCTTAAATAGGATTATAATGGTTTTAGGTTTTTCACATTGTGCAAGCTCATGTTCTGCGGTTATGCTGGGTCCCAGTAGTAGGCTGCCCGAATCTGCCAGGAAACACTGGAGGCAAGATGTGGCATCTGGCAGGGCGAACCTGTAAATCTTAAACCCATAGTTTAGCATTTTGCTTAACTGTCCACAGTGTGATGAGACAAGCCCTTCCCCTTACTCGCTCCTATTTTTTTTCCCAAATGCAAACAATTTCAAGACTCAAAATACCGTAACTAAAGAATAAAACACACTGACTTTGTCAACCAGGTTGGAATGTTTTGGGGTTCACCCTCTGCAGCCAATTCCCCTGCAAATAGCCATTCCTAACTTGGCCATTCAAATCCCCAAATACAGCGCCCTGTGAGTGTCTTTTTCAATTAAATTTTTTTGTTTGTTTTACATCAGATTTGTCTGCTTTAAATCAGATATGGGTCTCAGAATGTCTTTCGAACACATTCTCAACCCTATTCCTTTTCGGGGGAGCTTCTTAACCGCCTTGATCAGCCACTGAACTTTGCTTATGCAACCAAGAAAGCAAACCATGAATTAAACTTGAGTAACAGAAAAGCAGCATATATCTCAAATTAGATTTATAACTGAATGGTAATCAAAAATAGAACTCACTGCTTGAAGCTTAAATTATCAACTTTTTTCTAGTTAAACTAAAATCATCTTGCTCTGAACTATTATTTCATTTCAGTCAGCACTTTAAATGTAATGGGTGGGTGGTACATTTCTAAAAAGGAAGATTATATTTATACTTAATTATAGATATGACTGAGATCAGAGTACGATGAATAGTGCTTTTCTGGCTTATAATTAATGCATCTAATAGGTGAATGACCTTGAATTTCAGAGTTGGAACCTGGGAGAGGGAAAAAAGAAGTAGGAGAAAGAAAATCTCTGGAGAAAAGCAAATGTGCCCCTGGTTCCTCAGGGCTTTCTCTGATTTTGCGTCACTCCCATTACGTTGTGATCCGATATCAGACACAACATCTTGGGGGGATGTTGCAGAACAGAGAAAAGCAGTCTCAGATGAAACCAGATTAAGCTCCTTTTCTGAACTATTGCCAAATGCTTGTGAGTCTAATTCATGTTTGGGTATTCTAGTACTCACACAGCTGCAATTCCATTCTTTCATCACAAACCTAAGTGATGTATAGTGGCTTTGTATGGTGAACTGACTCTATAAAGCCAGGATTATTTTAAATGTTAATATGAAAAAAAGAAATTCTGAACCACCATAAAACTTTTACAAATGCAGAATATATGTGTAGGTATCTACCGGACTTTGTGGCGACAAATGCAAAATACACATTGAGTGAAATCACAAATTAGATTTGTTTAAAATACCTTTTATCACAATTGAGGTCATTTCTACATAGTTAATTCTGCACAGAATCGGGTTTTCAAAGACACTGCTGAATAAGATTCCTAACAGCCTTGGGGAAGTTTCTGTAAATCCCTGTCGAATAGTTGCTGCTGAATTTGCCATTCTGACCACAGAAGGGCCATTGCTGACTTACTACGGTAGCAGGAGGGGGGCGATAATTTTGCTGCTGTTGGCACTTACTCTGCAACCTAGAATATATCTTGCACCAAAGGGCAATGAAGAACACAATATTTCCACCTGTCCACTTTTGAACTTCAAAGCTCAAAACTGAAGGTCTTTGGATGGTCTTTATTCTTGATTCCTAAACGTCCAGGAGTACACCTTTATAAGTTATTTTTATTTCTGTCCTATACTTGGTTTTAGCAAAAGAGGACTTGGGAAACTTAGAGAGACAAGATGACTAAGATATCTTGCAAATTAGGGACTTAAAAGACTGTCGTGCTGTACAGAAATGCAAATTATTCAAATTATTATTTAGCAAATAATTTTTAAAGGCTTTTTGTCAGTGTCTTTTATTTCTACATTAAACATGTAATGCACATTGTATTTGTAACAAGTCAGAAGTAGAATTCATGTCCATTAAGGAAAGAGGGAGGGCTTTAAGGTCGGACTGATCTGGTTGAACCTTAGCTCAAAGGCATACACAGACAATGTAATCGGGGGTTAGTTATGCAACTTCTCTAAACCATATTTCCTTCCTCTGTAAAAAGGGACTAATAAGAGCTCCATCATAGGGTTATCAGGAATAGACGAAACGACGTATGTAAAATGTTCCGCAGAGCCAGGCTTCCAGCACAGAGCTTACCTCTTCCTCCGTCCCCCACAAAATAGTCCTGTATTATGATCCACTGATTATTATTGAAAAGATACATCAAAAGTTATGAATAATCATTAGTTAGATTCTCTATTTTCAGATAAAAACTGCAAGCTGTGATAGTAATTTTGAAAAGTTACTATAAAAAGCTAAAAATGAGTTCTATATGGGAGTCTACATAACAACCATCATAGCCTCATGGCCTAGAGCTACACTAGCAACAAGAAATGACCAGGTTTTTTCCATATTTAATAAAGAAATTGCCCAACAATCTCCATAATTAAGTTTAAGTGGCCATGTTCCTGGAACTGCCACAAGGATGAGTTCTGTGGCTCCTTTAATTTTGCTTTTGCACGCATGAGCAAACTGCTACTGTTAATTCAACTATAGGTAAAATCAAAACTAGTTACAGTTAACCAACTATACAAAAATAAGAAATGCATTACATGTGATCGAATTTCATAAATCTTGTGATGTTACATTCAAACTCTTGCTACTGTATTAGTCACTGATAAGTAACCTCAAATATGGTTCAATTTTGTGTTTTAGTCCTTACAAGGGTAATTATAAGTCTTAATCAATGTTTATGTGATACTTATCAAGTACTGTTTTAAAAAATACATATTTTACTTCTTCATGACATCACAAAGAAATAAAAATAAATGAATGCACTAGATAGGTTTGGTTGGAAATGTACGTAATTCCCAAGAAATTCAACTGCCTAAAACAAAATTATTTATTTTAGCAGTGATTGTATTTCACCAAACATTAAAAAATTCAAATACATTGTCTTTCCTCATAAAGAAACACAACACCTTATATTTAAATGTTATAAAGTGATGCAAAGGTTGCCATGGTAACTAGTACTTAATGTATAACAGAGTAATAGTCAAGTAAAACTCAAGCATTTTGGTATGGAAATTACAACTGCCCAAGGGTTGGCAAGATTTATGCATACACCTATTTGACTAACTCTCAAATTGTATTTAAAGAAAAAGAGAGAGAGAGAGAGAATATATTATTTATTGTATACACTAAAGTGAGAAGTTTTTTGTTTTCCTGTTTTGTGGGGTTTTTTGATGGTTTCTGAAAATCCATTCTAGAATTCCAGGTCATCTATTACATATTAAAAGGGGGATTATATTTGTTTGTGGGAAGGCAGAAATTTGGCAAAACGAAAACATTGAGGCAATCAGTCACCTACAATAAAAATTGGATTTGAAGAAATCTTATGTAAACACTACAGAATTTAAGATAGCTATCTTCTTTGTCAGTTTAAGCTCCTTCTCAGTTCAGAAAGTTCATTTAATATGTAATTCACTATGTAGTGAGTCGATATGCTATAATCACTACTTGCCTTAAAAATGTTTCCTTCAGCAATTTCGTGCCAAAGTAAAAATAGAACAATTTGAATACGACCTGTTAACATACTAGGGAATTAGCAGCACTTTCGCTATAAATATAAACATGTAGCTATAATAAATGTGCTGAAAAATATATTTGGCCAGGTTGCTATTTTAGCAAAATAAAGGCATATAAAACGGTCACAAGTCAGTCTTCATCATATTGAGTGGAAGTCACATTTCAAGGTTGTTGTAAATGTCTGCCCCTCTGAGCAAGGTTCTATGACAGCCATTTTTACGTAGGTTGGCCTCCCTGGAGACAGGGACCAGGGTCATATGGCCTATCCAGCACCTGACATAGAGGCTCGATTACAGCCTAATGGCCAACTCTGTGTGCTATCACTAGAACAAAGCGTTCTGCTAACAACCTGCACCTGTAAATATGGCGACACACCTATCACACGATGGGAGGAAACAGAGATTATCTGGAGAAGTAATAGCACATTACATCTGCACAATGTAATCTTCAATTCATCCTGAAATTATTTAAGTCGTGACCATCCTTCCAAAGCTATGCACAGTTTCAAGCCCGTCTGCACTCAAGGAGCACTAACTATTTACCTCCCAAGATTCCTTCTTGAATATCAGACCAAGAGTGTATGGTATATAAAGGCCAAACTAGTGGATAAAGTAGCTAAAAGAGGAAATGACTTCTTCATGTTTTAACTTCCTACAGTGCCTGGCGCAGAGACCTACCACAGCAAATGCTCACTAAATATTGAAGTAAAAGCAGAACTAATGCTATTGATCAAATCGATGGCTTGAATAACTACTATGCTTTTGTTTTTTAGCAGAAATCTTATCCTTAAGTCATTCCAACTACTATTGCTGCTAATAATAACCACCATAGTAGTAGCATAAGTAGTAATAGTAGTATGAGGAGGAGGATGGATGGATGTGAATGTAAGAATAGTGGCAAGGGCCGGGCACAGTAACCCACACCTGTAATCCCAGCACTTTGGGAGGCTAAGGTGGGCCGATCACCTGAAATCGGGAGTTCGAGACTACCCCGACCAACATGGAGAAACCCTGTCTCTACTAAAAATACAAAATTAGCCAGGCATGGCAGCACATGCCTGTAATCCCAGACACTTGGGAGGATGAGGCAGGAGAATCTCTTGAACCCGGGAGGTGGAGGTTGTGGCAAGCGGAGATCACACCACTGCACACCAGCCTGGGCAACAGAGCAAAAAATCCATCTCAAAAAAAAAAAAAAGAATAGTGACAAGGATAGTAGGTGTAGCTATAGCAGCAGCAGCTACCAGTCACAGTGTCCACTAAGTGCCAGGCACAGGTACAGATCCTTTACATGCTAACAAGTTAGATGCTACAACCCCCAATGTACAGATGGGGCATTCAGAGTGGTTATGTGACCTGACCAATGCCATGTGGCTGGTAAGCAGTGAAGCCAAGCTGGGAATTCAGTTAGGCATGACTTCAAAGCCTATGCTAGTTCTCTGCTCCACACTTCCCTGCTATTTTCTGTACATTTGGTTTTTCTCCCCCTCCCACAACCATTAGAAAGCTCATTTTTAAGTCAAGAGCTTATCCTAAAATTTACTCCACAGGAGATCATCTAACTAAGTAGGGTCAGACAAGCCTAGGTGTGAACACCACTTACCCCTGGATAATCCGGGATACTCTGTCTAACTTTGGTGGACAAAGCTCCTTGTCTGGGAAATGCTGTATAAGAATGCCTACCCATGGTAAGAATTCGGTTAGATAATACAAAGTACTTAGCAAAGTTCCTAGCACTTACTGAGGCTTAAGTGTAAGGAGTATTTTTATATATTTTGTATATTTAAAAATCTTACTATATACTAATACAGAAGGTGTTATATAATATTATAATGTAAGTTTGGATGAAATGATACGATGTATGATATATAAGTCATGCACAGATACATTATATAAATTTCTAATAGGCCCAGGACACATGAGGCTGAAAACAGCAAGCCTGCGTAGACAACTGAAATCTCAGTTCTTCAGTCTGATCCTCCCACTCCCCACCCACCCCCCGCCTCTGCTCTCCACAGCTGCCTGCCACTCAGCTCTAATCTTCATCTCCACGGTGGGGTCAATCATCTTCTCTAAAAAGGTTCAAATTCTTTTTCTTTATTATTAGTATTTCTTTTCCCCCAGTCTTCTTTCATTTCAGCCCTCTTTCTTCTAGACTTTTCCTTCCACTTCATCTGAAAAATTTAACATTTATAGCATTGGTGGCAAGTAACTCTTTTTTTTTTTTGAGATAGAGTCTTGTTCTGTCACCCAGACTGGAGTACAATGGCACAATTTCAGCTCACTGCAACCTCCACCTCCCGGCTTCAAGTGATTCTCCTGCCTCAGCCTCCTGAGTAGCTGGGACTACAGGGGTAGTCCACACCACCATGCCCAGCTAATTTTTTGTATTTTTAGTAGAGACGGGGTTTCACTGTGTTAGCTAGGATGGTCACCATCTCCTGACCTCGTGATCCGACCGCCTCGGCCTTCCAAAGTGCTGGGATACAGGCATAAGCCACCGTGCCCGGCCCTTGCAAGTAACTCTTTTTTCTCTTTTTCTAATCTGTGGTATCCTCAAGGGCAGAAAGTGAGCTTCCATCATGTTTGTATTCCTGGCATTCAACAGAGTGGGCCCTAGTACATAGTATGCCTTCAGTAAAGATCAACTAGATAAGATAGTTTATTAGCTATGGAAGATGCTTGCATGATTTTAACCATCACTAGTATAAAGATAATTAGATAACTTCTCCATCTCTACCCCAGCAGACACATAATTCTTCCATCTCTATACTCAGTCTTGTCCTCAGCTTTTCTCCTGTGCTTTGGAGTGGTTTTTAAAAACATCACCTCATGAATGCTTCATACAAAATGTAAAATTTGATCCTTAATATGCAAAAGGCTCAACGCATCTTTTCCACAAAACTTCTGCTGATTCCTAATTATACTTTGAGTCCTTTAAAGTACGTTTGAAGAGTAAGAACTTGTAACGTCTGTGAGGAAATCAGTTGTATGTTTTTCTAGACACCTGATGGCTTACCTTTGCTCTTATCTATGACAGGTTTGGTTGAAAATGGTCAAACTTCCCTAAATACATGAGGCTGTTAAATAGGTCATCATTCACCCAAAGGGCCGTGTTCTAAAAAGAATCTGGAGCAGGTGGGGTAATCCAGACATGGCGCAGGAGGAACAGATTCAGTAGTGCCATATACCTTCAGTAGAAGAAACATTGCAACAGAGAGGACAGAGAACAGCACAAGAAGGGAATGTTTACTGTGGGAACACAGCATATGAAATAGGTTAGGAGAACTTAAAACAGCTGGCTACGAAATGACTCCTGTTAGTAGGTAGCAAGGATGTCTTAACATGATATTTAGCGCTTGGATTCTACCTTCTTAACTACTGACAACAGACTGGGTCAGCTAGGGTCAAAGCCACAAAAATAGCCAAAGGAGACTAGAGATGGAACTTCGATCACCAAGACAACAACTTAAGAACTGAGTTTCAACACAAGAAAAGTTTTGTTGTGTTTCTTCACAGGAAGCGAGATGGCCCAATTTTTCTTCTGACAATGCCAACTTTTCCAGAATGGCACCATTAAATACCTAAAAATGTTCTAAGACTGAGGTCATCAAACATTTTTCTTAAAGGACCAGACAGGAAATATTTTAGTCTTTGCTGGCCATACGGTCTTTGTTGCAACTATGCAACTCTGTCATTGTCACTGTAAATCAACTGTGCGTAATACGTAAATAAACAGGTCAGGCAGTGTTCCAGTAAAACTTTATTTATAAAAAGTGGCTGTTGG